TAAAACGTCAAAAGGAGTACAAAACTACATATAAATAGGGCTTTAGGAAAACTTGGAGAAAAAGGCGTATATGAGTCACAACACAAGATGCAGAGGATTTTTGTTGTAGCTTGTATAATCTTAGCCTTTCTGCAGTGGAATATGTGAAAGAGTTCAATTAGAGGTACGGTGCTCAGGAGAGACAAAAACTGCACTTAAACTTTCAAGCATTTTACCTTCAAGAGTGGATTACAACAGATTAACACACAGCCAACATCTGTATCCAAATATGAAGAACCAGGACGCTTATCAGATTCACAGGACAAAAATCAATTATGAGGCAAGAAAATAAAATGTCACGTCTGGTTTATAATTTGATTTGTGATCAATATCAATGATATTAAATAACAGGTATCATCTGAATCAGCAAGGTTCTCTACTTTAATTTGATATAAAACATTCACATAAGCGTTTAATCTGCATTACTGGTTATCAGCCTTTTTGGCCCCCATTGTCCAACACAGTATTTTGAAGGCCCCCCTGTATTGGCTAAGATACAGATTTTTTTTTTTCAATCAAAAAAAATTATTAAAAGGAGAAAGAAATATGATTCCAGTTTACATCCAGATTTCAAGTTTTTAGCATTTAAAATAAATTACTTGTGTGTGCATCCAAGTCATTTTGTGGTGTCCTTGGAAATTTGCTGAGGCCCCCAGTTGAGAACCATTGGTCTACATATTACAAATATGACTGTCAGTAAATAAATTAATACACTAACATTTAAAAGTTTAATTTCTTCATTATATTTTTCAAGTGAAGTGAAAAAAAGTGGTGGCAATGTTACAAAGTGCAGTGATGAGATCATTGCACTTTTTGACACCACTTTATTTATTTTATTACTAAAAAGGCATTAAATGAGTAGAATAATTGTCACAAATTTAAACCAAAAAAAAGTGATGGAAATGCTGTGCCATGAAAACTTTAAAAATAAGTTATGTCCCCTGTGAATTTTAGAAATGCGGTTAAAACCCAATAAAAATGTGGTTAGTTAGAGCACTGTTTATTTTATTAAACATTGTTGCCAGATTGTTTGTTTTGATGCTGTAAATTTTATATTTTGATGCTGTTTTGAATTTTTCAAATGTATTTGTCATTTATTTAGTCAACTTTTAAACTGGTGTCTATATAAAAAAAATAATAATTCTAAACATTGAAATAAAATAAGTAACTACACTCCCAGGTTTGTCCTGTTATTGTATTGTCCTATTAAGTACATGCCCAATTGGGTCTTTTTTTGCTCATGAATGCATTGATTCTTGCCATGTACTAAAAAGGTGTTGATGCACTGAAGCTGTAGGTCACTGTCTCTCAGTCTAACCTCTGGTCATGCACCGTACATATTCTACAGCCCCCGACTGACCTGGCAGCCCACATGAGAGTCTTGTTGTGGAACACGGCGTTTTGTGCAGTGCTGTGAACATGCTTATTATCAACACACAATTATCTGGCCTAATCATGTGGAACCGCACAAAAATCACCAGGGACCAAGGAATTAACGACATTCGCAACAGAGCGCAAACATGCATTTTTTGACACTGCATCACAAGAAAGCCAGTGTCCCTGTCAATATTCTCTTCAGATATTTCCTGTTGATTTGATTTTCAGTTCATATTTCCATGGCTTTTTATGTATTCTCTGACTGACTGATTTTCAACCCAGTCACATATTCACTCACAGGATGTGTGGCTAGAAAAACCTATCGAAATCTTTCGAAAGCTGCTCTGAAACACCAAAGTGTCATGCATATTACTGTACAGTATATTGCAGTCTGGGCGATATACTGAGTAGTGGAGTCCACAGAGCACAAAACATCTATGAGTTATTTTCTCTTTCAACACATTCGGAATTAATTCACACATCTGTATCACATCCCACAGAGAGTATATGCTGAAAACTTGTGAGCTACCTGGAGCATCAATCCCATATCTCACAATTACAGACAAGTCTGATATGTTTAAATTAGAAGCTACAATCAAAGTACACGAGTAAGATGATTTTTTGTGGAGGTGAATATTTCATAGTAGACAGTTTTCATGTATAAAAATCCTGAAGCATATAAGTAAATGAATTCATTAGCTCCAAATGCATATCAGAAATGACATGCTACCAAGGGAAAAAATGTAAGTAGATATGTTTTCAATTGTTGTATTACAGCTGAGTCTTTGGATTGGATAAAATAAAATAAAATAAAATAAAATAACCCACCTGTTGGGTTACATTTTTTAAATAAATTTTTAACCCAAAAATTCATATTTTGCCCAAAGTTGGGTTGAAACAATCCAGCATTTTTTAGAGTGTAGGTAACTACATTAGTTAACATGAAATAACAGTATTTATATATATATATATATATATATATATATAACTTGTATTAAGCATTTTTTATTAATAATAAAGCATTTATTAATCTTCGTTAATGCTAATTTCAACATTTACCAATACAAAATTAAAATCAAAAGTTTTATCTGTTAATATTATTTAATGAACCTGAGCTGACATGCTAACTAACAATAAACAGTTGTATTTTTAACAAATGTTAACAAAGACTTATTAATATACTGTAACAACTGTATAGTTCATTGTTAGTAAATGCATGAACCAACTTATAGGACCTAAAGTATGACCAACATATTACCCTACCAATAAAAAGGAAAAACTGTTAGTTCATAATGTTATTTTTATTTATATGTCTCATGTGCCAAACATACATTAAGTTCTAACTTCTACTGCATATTATTGTCTAAGTTCTAATTTATACTCCTTATTATTGTTTAGTGTTCTGATTATGCATTGGTTTCTCATGTACCAGTGACCTCTAGTGGCTGAAATGTAGATGGACACCACAAATATTCAATATATATTCATAAACACTTTAAAAAAAAAAGGATAAACGTATTTAGTTGTAAAGTGATTTTCACAAATGCCTACAGTGTCAAATACAAGAATTGCATGTTTTAAAGGGCTATTAATGGTCAATCTCACAGGTCATGAAGTGAAAATTGGCTTATCACAGCATAACTGCAGCCTTTTTCAGTAAACAATGGTAAAACTGGTTTATCCGAGTAACACTAAATCCTTTCCATCTGTACACATTACCTCAGTTCAGATCTAATGTGTCCATAGGTCAGCATGAGCATGCACAGTTCGGTTCTCATGTGCAATATGATCCAAGACCTTTAAATAACAAACTGTCCAGCATTGCAGGAGGCCTACAGCTGGCCCGAGAGAAACCTAATACAGACACAGACATACTAAAGACTGACAGTAATACATATACAAACATGCAGAAATAGACACTTAAACTCTCAATGTGTTCTGCTGCAAACAGTTTGGAAGTCTCATATAGCAAGAGAGCATGCAGTACTATAGACATACACTGATTGATATGCATGCTTAAGTTTAATGTTTGCAACATTGCCTCAAACAGTCCTACGTATAGTGAGAGCGCATACGCACAGCTGTCACCTGCCATATAGATGAGTCATAGCTCCCAGCGATTCTGCTGTTATATAGACACACCTGTCAATGGCTCATCTCCAGTCTGTCTCTGTTGGGAAAAGGTAATATTGCCTCATATTCAGTCTTAAAACTGCATTCACATTTGGCCTACTTTTCTTTCTTAATCTTAGGAAAAAATCTTTAAAACTGTATATATAAATTGAATATAATATAGTTATATAATATAGTATATAATGTCATGAACATTTTATTCAAATAGTTATCTTTTTTTGCAAATGAACTCTTCATATATATATATATATATATATATATATATACTGTATATATCCATGCAACATTTTGGGAAGGTTAGCTTTTAGCTGGGAAAAAAAACAGAGAACATTCTTACAACCAATTCAAAAATTTGGTTTCCTAAACTGAAATGTTAGGAAAACACTCTGTGTTTGCTGGGACTAAATAAGGGCTGACATTATTTATTCATTTTAAGATATTAAAGTTGGTATGAAACGCATCCATTTTTTAAATGCATGTTATTGATCTTATTGTGAACGACTCATCCATTTATTATGCTTTTCATTTTTTTAATGACCTTGTAATTTTTAATCAAAACTCGATCTTGCCTTCCACAATTGACAGCATGATTGCATTCATTTTTGGGTTCAACACCCACATCTCAAAAATCCAATCAATAGCCAACATCCCAATATAAAATATACAGAATTTTTTTTTTTATTAAAGGTTTAATGAATCTTTTGAAATATTACAGTACATATCAGTTGTACTTGATAGCAATATATAATATTATTTACAAAGCAAATATATATGTGCTGCGGTGTGTGAACAAGCTGTGCAAGTAAAAGATAAAGCTTTAAAGTCAGCTGGGTATTTTTACAATGCTACAAAGTCTGTCTAGATTATTTCAAAGCCTGAGGGGGAAAAACACTCTAGAAATCACCAATAAATTAATAATCGAAACGTAAGGTGGAACAAACTCAAAAAAATGTGTACATTTATACTTGAGAAGGTTTAAGCAGTCAAAAAGAGTCTACCAATATGTTTTGTTAATTTATCCGAGTAATATAAAAATGCAGAGGTTCCTAATAGACATATTAAACATTATTTAATGCTTTGTGCAATACTATACTCCCACAAACACTCACACATACATGAAGTGTTCCCAAACCATCCATGATCAATGTTTAGAGTACTGCTCACAGCACACATGATGGCCAAATACTGAAGTCATATTTGCAAAATTAAAAATTAAAAATAACACCCCACCTTGTCATAAAGTCAGCGCATCCTCAGACTTTAGTTGCAGATAATTAAAAGGATAGTTCACCCAAAAATGAAAACATATTTTGACAAATTTTGGTAACCAAACGGCTGACTGCAGCCATTGACATTCATAGTATGGAAAAATACTGTGGCTACTGTCAACTGTTTGGTTACAAACATTCTTCAAAATATCTTATTTTGTGTTCAATGACATGAAAGTGAGTAATCAATGACAAAAGTTTCATTTTGGAGTGAACAATCCCTTTAATGCATTTTGAGCTGTGTTTTGAAACCATTCATGAGGTTCAGTTATAATGATGTTTGACTGTACGGCCAATCACTAGGAAGAGAAGACCAGACAGAAGACAGAAGAACACGCCCACAGGAGCAAACATGAAAGAGAGGCCATAAGTCATACTGAGCTCAAAATCAGGGCACTTATTCGACTTCTGATATTCCTTATACGAGCTTATAACATCCAAAACATCTAACCAGAAAACATACATCACAGTGACAACGAGAAGGAAGAAACCTGGAGAAAAGAGACAGCATTGAGAGTTGGAGAAATGAAAAGCAACATGAAAGAGAGAGATAAAGGGTAAAAAATAAATGAGATGCTTGTGATATGTTACACATGAGATAAACCATACCTCTTCATGTAATCCTTAACTTACCAGAAATGAGGTAGAGTCCACCTCCTGCTTTATAAAGGCGATGACTGCCGAATGGAGCTGCGCAAATAATAATGAAACCGCCGGCCACCACAGCGGCCACACCCAGCAACATAGAGATGCTCCAGAAACCTCTGTAGACTAAAAGATCATGTTTTTCATTAACACAAACCAAAGGGAAAGCGGTTCAGTACAGTAGCCAATTCAGTTACACTATACACTATGCAGTGGCACTGCAACCCATTTTACTTCCGTAACTTAATATTTGTGGGGGGAAAAAAGGTTCGACTTGAACTGCATCTTGATTTTCGGTGGAGGAGTTGAGAAAGTATGAGGGATCACTTCATTAAAAATATTTTCATATGAATAAACAGAAAAAGAGAGCAATCAAGAGAAGTTGAAAGATATTGGCATTGGAATTTGGCATTAGGGGCATAAACAACCTTGACCTGTTAAATAAATAAATAAACTTACTTATGGCAGTCTGATAGCTGGTAGTGTTGTAGATCTGGTCAGGGAACGGAAAGGGGAGAAGATATGCAGGTTTGCATTCCCTTGCATGTGGCTGATTTTCTAAGGGAAGAACAAGGAGAATTGCCATTTATTAGTGTGTGAGCTAAATCATTGTTTCAATTAAGATTACAAAGAAGTGTTGCATATTCAAGTTGTTTGCTACACTGAGGTTATATGAACATTTATTCCCTCTCTTTGAACCTTCTAGAGGGCAACAGGTCAGACCCCTTTGATATTTGTGGCACAGCCTCACCCGGAGCCTCACAAGTGGGCCAAATGCCACATTCAGTGAGCACGACTGAGCACTTCACACTTTGTAATATGAAAAAATGGAATGTTTAAAATTAGTTCATGATTAGGTATCAACGAACAACCATTTTTACAGCATTTATTGTCCATTATTAACTCACACTTATACAAATGTTAAAATATATTTAATATATGTATAAATTAACACTAACCTCTAGTAATAAATGCTGTGAGATTGTTTTGGTCTGTGGAAAACCACATAATCTCTGAATGATTGTTGCACCAAAGCAAATGTAACAGTCTCTTACCAAACCAGAATTTCCACAGATCGTCATCATTCGTGATGTCATTAAAGCTACAGCGCCAAAAGAAGCCCTCGTGATGAAAGGTAATGTTCTGGTCTTCGCTAACTTGGTTGACCATGACATCACCTCGCTGTGAAGGAGCAGAGAGCAGAGGTCAGAGAGCAACAAACATCTGCTGTGAAGCCAGTGATTTTACAAATTTAAAAACAACTAGAGAACATGGATGGACACATGCTCTTCATGTGTTTAGATGCAGTTTACAAAAAGCAAGTCAAGAACATTATATTATGGAATGCAGAAGTGCTTTGAGTCACTTGTCTCAACCCTGCTCGAAAATCCAACTTAAACTGGTAAGCCTGTTGTTAGCCTGTTGACCAGTGACAATGCTTCAAAAATAGCTTGAATGATCTTAGACCAGCTAATGACCAACTAATGACGAGCCCGGCCATCTAGAAACCAGCTATCATGTTCCAAAACACAGCTAATAGCAGGAATCTTCAAGAGAAGCATGCACTAGACGAATAACAAGTGAGCATTGCAAAAAGAATGCTAATTTATATTTACATTTAAGCACCACAATCAAAAGATACAGAATTACTATGATACATGAAAAAAGTTCAACATCAAGCTTTCCTGTAGACCATCTTTCAGCCTCCAAGCACATGAGTACAACACACGCTCATGGCAATTTGTCAAAACTATTTTACATTTTGATGAATTGTTAGCCACAGTTCAAGCCAGTACAATCTCATTTATACTGCTAATGCCCCTATGACACTTAGATTTATGGGGTAGACCTTTGATGCATATATTTTTCTAAAAATCATACATTTCGACCTTGTAAAACAGAGCTCAGGTTGTGCACGTCAGTAAGAACTCACTTTTCCCTCCCAAACCTTTATGAGGGAAACCTAATTCATGTATGACTCCTATGAATAGAAACTGCACTGAGATTCCAGTTTGGTTATTAGTATTAAGCATGGTATCACACTACAGCATGTGATAGTCTACACTCAAGCAACTGAGAGACTGTAGATAGTGACGTTTGAGGATGTCACATGACAGTCACTGCTTATAAACCAAATATGCTCATGACTGCTTGAGGATCTTGCTTCAGTAAGGATCAAAGAGCAGAAATCTAGTTCAGTTTAATTTCAATAAAAAAAACATATACACTAAAATCCAAAACATACAATTCTGAAGAGACTTGTTTCATATTTATAAACAGACCATCCATGATCTTCTGACAATTCACCTGAACTAGTATATATCTATAAAACACTTGTCCACTTTTCTCTTTGCCCTAAAGGAATTGAAACAAACAACACTTCCACCCACCTGCAAAGCAACCGGACCATTTGAATGTGAATTGCAGGTCTCTGATGCCAAGAGCCAATAGTCCGTGCCAAAAGACAAGAGAATGAACAGAGTTGCCAAGGCACCAAAGAGCCCAGCAAAAAATAGTGCCACATGTAACTTCATGATGACAATCTTAAGAGTGCAACTTTCTCAGCTGTTTACTTCTTGTTAAACAGTCTCTCCTCCTTCCCACATGAAGTAGGCACTGAAATTACGTAACTCCTCACAATCTGTGTGATAAATAGTCTCTTAGTCCAGTTATTCTCAGCAAGGTGTATAGTGTGTGAACACAAGTGGCTGTTCTAGTACTCTTCTGAGCTCCGGTGTATATATGTGTCTGTGTCAGTGTCCTCTTCCCTTAGCCAGAGCAGGACCTGGCATTGGGTGGGGAGTGGGCTTCATGACAGCACACTAGCGAAGAGCAGCCCATTGGGCTATTTTGGTCAGTTGAGTGAAGGTGCCTGCTGCCTGTCAGAGGAGTGGTTTAAGAATGAGATTTCAGGAGGGAGACGAGTGGACCAAAATATCCCCCCACAGGACAATCGGCTGAGAAAGGAATGAAAATGAAGACACTAGAGCCCAGCATTCCCAATGTCTGTCACAAATCCCACCACCAACTGAGAAGTGAACTCTGAAGATGAACCAAGGTTAATACATTTACATCCATTTAGACATAACATATGGATATACATTTATATGCACTGCCCTTCAAAAATTTGGAGTTAGTAAGGAATTAATAGTTTTATTCAGCAAGGATGCATTCATGTGTTACCTGGGACCACAAAACCAGTCATAAGATTTCCGTCACACGCTTGAGGTATTCGGCCAATCACAACGCACTGGATAGCTGGCCAATCAGAGCACACCTCGCTTTTCAGAACGATGAGCTTTGTAAAAATCGACACGTTTCAGAGAGGCGGGGCATAGAGGAGAAACAATAATGTACAGTATGTGGAAAATAATGTGGTTTTTTTTACCTTTAACCGCATAAACACATTTCATTACACCAAATACACAAAATAATGTTATTTTTTAGCAACGTCATATGACCCCTTTAAATTCCTTATCCTTAATCCTTATATAGTTAATCACAAAGAATTGTGTATGCATAAGAGTTGTGGAAAAATCACTGTCATAAAAGTATCTTAAAAGTAGTCCATATGGCTTGTGTGCTATTTTCCACGCAGGGCTGTCAGTTTAATGCATGCTTAATTTATTGACAGCCCTAATTCCAAGTCTTCTAAAGCTTGACAATCTTATTATGGTGCTTTTTTTGTCATATCCAGAACTTAAAAGTGTCTGCTATTCAGTTTCTTTGAAAAACCTCATAAATTCTGCTAAACTTCTTTTGTGTTCAGTGGAAGACACGAAATCACTTTGGAATACATGAGTGAGTGAACTACTGCTTTAGGTGATTGAGAAATTGTTTGTGTTTTCATTATCACATTTACTCACATTATCATATTTAGGCCACAACCCAGCATGTGAGAGTCTACTATTCTGTGCTCGACTCTCTCTCTATCTCTGCTCTCAATGACCCATAGACCTCTCTAATTTTATTTCCCCGTATTTTCATTAGCTATGGCTCGGGAAATACATTCTGCCTGCTTGTGTGTGGCAGTAAATCAATAAGGTGAGCGTTAGTCTTTCTCTCCTCTTTCTGTAAGATTGTCATCCCTCACTTCCCTCTCGCTCTCTCCCTGTTCAGATTTCTTCAAGTTCTAACATTTGGACTGATAACGCCTGACCCGAAGGTCACCTGCCGCAAACATCCAAAACTATTTCAACATTCTGAAGAAACGCAGTCAACAACACAAGAAGAGTGTGTCGTGACAGATGACACAAAGGATCTAATGGCTTAACTAACTCTGAAAAGATGAGGGACAGAGGAGAGCTTTAAATGCAGTGGACCATTTCTACAAATAGAGTACAGATTTATTCCTGTGATGGTAAAGCTGAATTTTCAGTAGCTATTACTTTAGTGTCACATGATCCTTCAGAATTCATTCTGATTTGATGCTTAATTATTAAAATGGTTCCTATTATTACTATTAATGTTGGAAACAGTTTAAGTATTTTTATATTTTATATTATTTTACCTAATATTTATGTGGAAACCGTGATATGTTTTTTCAAGATTCTTTGATGAATATAAAGTTCAGAAGAACTTTCAGAAGTTCAGAAGTTATTTGAAACAGAAATCATTTAAAACATTATAAATGTCTTTAATGTATCCTTGCTGAATAAAAGTATTTATTTCTTTTTTCAACTTTTTTATATTTCTTACACCAAACTTTCAAATGGTACATCATGTTTATAAAAAATATTTTAAAAAATTTTAAATCTGATACAAAAACCTGATGAAAAAATAGAAAAGACAAAAACTAAAACAAAACAAAACAATTAAAAAACTAAATTAAACAAGCACAAAAAAAACAGGTTTACACACAAAAAGAGTGCAAATTAAAATTAATTAATTATTAAAATATTATTTTACAACATTCAATTCAACAGTCGTGAAAGACTCAAAATCCTTTCTTGCAACATTTGACATGTTTTAAACCAACTACTTTTGATATAAAAAAATGGCATAATATGTGACCTGGGACCACAAAACCAGTCATAAGTGTCAATTTTTTTTAAATTGAGATTTATACATCATCAATGCATATTACTAATCAAAAATTAAGTTTTTATATATTTACAGGAGGAAATTTACTAAATATCTTCATGGAACATGATCTTTACTTAATATCCTAATGTTTTTTGGCATAAAAGAAAAATCGATAATTTTGACCCATACAATGTATTGTTGGCTATTGCGACTTAAGAGTGGTTTTGTGGTCCAGGGTCACATTTGTCTTTCAAAAGTGAAAGACATTTATGTTTCAAAAGATTTCTATTTCATATAAATGGTGCTCCTTTGAAAGAATGCTGAAAAAGTATCAGTTTCCACAAAAAAATATTATGAAGCTGTTTTCAACATTGATAATAATAATATTAATAATGAATGTTTCTTAAGCAGAAAGTCAACATATTAAAAGGATCATCTGTCTGCTAAAAATCAGGAATAAATCACAGGAATAAATAACCAAGAGAATGAACAGAGTTGCCAAGGCACCAAAGAGCCCAGCAAAAAATAGTGCCACATGTAACTTCATGATGACAATCTTAAGAGTGCAACTTTCTCAGCTGTTTACTTCTTGTTAAACAGTCTCTCCTCCTTCCCACATGAAGTAGGCACTGAAATTACGTAACTCCTCACAATCTGTGTGATAAATAGTCTCTTAGTCCAGTTATTCTCAGCAAGGTGTATAGTGTGTGAACACAAGTGGCTGTTCTAGTACTCTTCTGAGCTCCGGTGTATATATGTGTCTGTGTCAGTGTCCTCTTCCCTTAGCCAGAGCAGGACCTGGCATTGGGTGGGGAGTGGGCTTCATGACAGCACACTAGCGAAGAGCAGCCCATTGGGCTATTTTGGTCAGTTGAGTGAAGGTGCCTGCTGCCTGTCAGAGGAGTGGTTTAAGAATGAGATTTCAGGAGGGAGACGAGTGGACCAAAATATCCCCCCACAGGACAATCGGCTGAGAAAGGAATGAAAATGAAGACACTAGAGCCCAGCATTCCCAATGTCTGTCACAAATCCCACCACCAACTGAGAAGTGAACTCTGAAGATGAACCAAGGTTAATACATTTACATCCATTTAGACATAACATATGGATATACATTTATATGCACTGCCCTTCAAAAATTTGGAGTTAGTAAGGAATTAATAGTTTTATTCAGCAAGGATGCATTCATGTGTTACCTGGGACCACAAAACCAGTCATAAGTGTCAATTTTTTTTAAATTGAGATTTATACATCATCAATGCATATTACTAATCAAAAATTAAGTTTTTATATATTTACAGGAGGAAATTTACTAAATATCTTCATGGAACATGATCTTTACTTAATATCCTAATGTTTTTTGGCATAAAAGAAAAATCGATAATTTTGACCCATACAATGTATTGTTGGCTATTGCGACTTAAGAGTGGTTTTGTGGTCCAGGGTCACATTTGTCTTTCAAAAGTGAAAGACATTTATGTTTCAAAAGATTTCTATTTCATATAAATGGTGCTCCTTTGAAAGAATGCTGAAAAAGTATCAGTTTCCACAAAAAAATATTAAGAAGCTGTTTTCAACATTGATAATAATATTAATAATGAATGTTTCTTAAGCAGAAAGTCAACATATTAAAAGGATCATCTGTCTGCTAAAAATCAGGAATAAATCACAGGAATAAATAACATTTTTAAATATAGTAAAACAGAAAACATTTTAATTGCAATAATATTTCACAATATTACTGTTTTAACTGTATTTTTTATTAAATAAATGCAGCCTCAGAGAGCTTTAGAGACTTCTTTTAAAAACATACCAATAAATAAATAAATAAAAATCACATCTCACTGACCCCAAACTTTTAAACAGTAGCGCAACTGCTTCCACTAAATACTGTATCATATGATTCCACTTGAATATATTGATTGAAACTGTCAATACCTGGAAAACAGAAAATACACACTCATTATATGTCAAGTGGGGCATTTTGCACAGAGCAGATAAACCTGTGACAAATTATCACTGTGCTGTGAATGAAGGCCAGAGCCACTGAAGTGGACATAAGGCTATGAAACTGGGCTTTTCCTGAGAGGCCACCCATGCATTGAGCTGGGTTTGAGTGTGGAGGGATATTTAGGGATTAGAGATACAGGAGAAAAATTATACAAGCTAAAATTAAAAATAATTACAACAGATGTCTATTGATGACTGCAAGTGCTGGAAGTCTTCTGTGGTGTAGTAATGACTGTCTGTGGTGTTTCTGCACAGCAGAGCAGAGGTGGTTTTAGTTCCTTGTGCTGCTAAATTTATCTCCACACTTTATCCTGTTATTGAGAAACAACAGTCCTTTTCATCTGCAGAGAAAGACAAAGTTAATGCTACTTTACTGTTGATTTGGATTTATTATCTTAAATTAAGCTGTTATATGTTCTGGTATACATAATCAAAAGCATTCCTTTAACACGAGATGTGAGGATGGGTCCATGTGAGTGTGTTTATGTAAACTATCTTGGGAACATCACTGTTTCAGCTGCACTGGGATGATCGGGTATCTTGGCTTCCCCAGTTCCATATTCAAAGCTGGAGAGGATTTGTAAACAAAATTCTAGAGAGAAGTTTAGCCCTAAAATGACCATGACATAAGCTCACCTGACAATATAACATGTGGATTAGAGCATTAGAGACTTCTTTCAAAAACATACCAATAAATAAATAATTAAACATAAAATCTCACTGACCCCAAACTTTTAAACAGTAGTGCAACTGCTTCCACTATGTATCATATGATTCCACTTGAATCTATTGATTGAAACTGTCAATACCTGGAAAACAGAAAATACACACTCATTGTATGTCAAGTGGGGCATTGTGCACAGAGCAGATAAACCTGAGACTAATTATCACTGTGCTGTGAATGAAGGCCAGAGCCACTGAAGTGGACATAAGG